CCCCCCCCAGATCAATGCTGTTTTTCAGAGTATCAGAGGCAGGGAATGGCCTTTTTTTCCCTTTTACCGCGGGTGGCCTTTTCTGTGTGCAGCACACATCAAAAGGCGGCAGTTGGTTCCGAAGCCCTTAAGTCGGGTTTTTTCAAGTTGTCGCCCTGTCATTCTTTTTCTTGGGCAGACAGACAAAAGTTAATGTGCAAAAGACTCCAAAGAGCCCAAAGTTCCCCAAGCTATTGAAAAAATCACCTTGAGGAGGAGGAGCTTCTGCCACTGGGAGTTCGAAAAAGGAAGCTTTCTAGAGCCCAAACAAATGAAGTCACCTTGAGTAAGAGGAGCTTCGGCCGCTGGCCTGGGAGATCAGAAAAGGAATCTTTCTTTCCCAAACCTGAACTGCAAGGAGTCCAAACTAATGAGAAAGGCAGATGCCTCATTGCACAGCAAAGGCAGAAGGAAAGTTTCAAGGAATGAGACTGAGGAAAAGTACATGGCATTACTGTGGATCTCAGTTTGGAGTCTTTGGGGGCAAACTGAGATGAGGGAGGGAGGGGCAGTTTGGAAAAGGTGAGAGGGGGAGGGGGAGAAAAGGGGGTAGGGTAAGGTAGCTTGTTCTTGAGCAGGAGCACAATCTGCGGAATCCGATGAAAATAGTACACAAGGGCACCCCAGTTGTCTGTTCCACGGCACGTGAGAAAGGGGAGAGTACGTTGATGCATGCTAACTCCTCCTTACTGCATGGATTGAGACATCACAAGCTGATGAATGTGTGATCATGGTGAGTGCAAGCCAAATGTACACAGCACATCTATTAAGTTTTCTGTGATCTAGAGCTGCACTGATAATTGCATTACGATGTCTCTTAATGTAGACCTTCCCAACACACACACACACACACACACACACGCACACACGCACACGTGGCCAACCTTGCATTTTCTATTATATTGCCTATCTGTGTTTTTTCGTTATGGATGGCTTGTGATGATTTGTGAAGGGAATGAGAGAGAGAATCTGGGTTCTTTTAAAACAACACACACACACACACACACACACACACACACACACACACACACACACACACACACACACATCCTGCATCAGCCCAGTCGGAGTAATGCAAGCAACGTCTTGAGCCAAAGCTGGGTAATAGCCCTGGTACAAATATGTATGCCGGAGTCCTCGTACGGGACGGTAGACCCGATTTCCAGCAGGTGTGCCTCCCCACCAATAGATGGAGCAGACGCCAACAGACCTACAAGGGGGGGGGGATGCCTTAACCACCTCGCCTAGTAGCTCCAGGCGGGCTCTTTAAAAAAAAATAAAAATAAAAAATAAAATAAATAAATCCTGCATCATCCAGGTCATTTCAGTGCTGCAACCTTTGCAGTTAAGTTGAGATATTAACTACTGGATCCTATGGGACAATGGCAGTAGGGTGCACATACTTTCTATCACCAAGCTGTAGATTCTCACTCGGTTTGGCTCGTCCGTCAGGAACAGTATGTCACAATGCAATCACAAGCACTGTAATAGCCTCGGGAGAGCAATTAGGCTGCTGAACCTCCTCCTTCCTCTCTACATGGTCAGGCACTGACAGCCAGTGTCCCCTCCCTGTGTAGATAGGATGAGTTCTACCGCGGACAATGAAGGGACCTTTCAAGAGGACGGTGCCTGTGCCCTCCCATTGTGTGGTCACACAACTACAGTTCGGTAGGCATGCACACGACATAGCCTCTGCTCCGAACACTATGATGGGATGGTCACTGCCAGCCTCTGCCGCGAAAACTGCAACCCTTTGTCTCGTACTCGTCACCCCCCCCCCCCCTCCCCCCTCCCCCCTCCCCACTCCTCCCCCTATTTACTTGCCCAGCATGACGTCATGCCCTTATTCTGCCATGCTTAAATTTAAATAGCTGCGAACGTCAGCCTGCTTTCCTGCTGACATGTCAGTAACATGCCATGTGTCGTCAATGTTTCAAGAAAGCTGTCATAGAAACTTGGAAAGTATGTGTCTCTCGCCAATGTCATCGCCCGCCACATCCTTTTTCCTACCTTTCTTCCCCCAAATACAACTCACGGTCATAATAGCCATATTTGGGGTATGTTTCAGTCTAAATACAGCTATACTGACCGTACGTTGCATTCGGGGGAAGAAGGTAGTATGTCCCACATGCAGCGTTGGGGATATACCTACTGCAACCGGAGACGCATTTCCTTCATCTTTGCCAGACAAACAGCAGACACAGAAGGCTTGTTTTTTTTTTTTTTTTCAATCTTGCAACGCTTCTTCTTCCAAATCTTAAACCAACAGTAGTGACTCCTGAAAAATCGGGCCAGCAGCTGTGGTAGAAAGACCAGCCATGGCCGGATTGCCCATCCAGTCGAACAACTGAAAAAGCTGAGGCCGTGGGATAAGCACGGTAGGCACAATGGTGAGGACCAGTTTAAGCGCAGGTGGACCGCACCGGTGATAGCTCGAACGGTAAACAGCAGACACAGAAGGCTTGTAATCAATGCTGGCAGGTGTTAGGTTATGGAAAGCCTTCGGCCTTACGTGGTTTTTCTGAGTCTTTCTCAGTTGTATTTGCTGGCATTGTCCTGATTAATTTCAGTGGCCTGCTGCACAAAGCTGCCAGCCGATATGGAGTGGAACAGAGGGAGGGATAGTGGGGGATGGGATGGAAAAGGTTCTCTCACCACCAACCTGCACAGTCAATCCTCTGGAGGACAGAGTAATCAATGCTGGCAGGTGTCTTACTCAGCTGTATTTCCTGATACTTTCCTGATTCGTTCTGTGTAAGGGACGCTGGACCCGTTTTCCAGCAGGTGATGCTCCCAACCAATAGATGGAGTCTCTCCCCGGGTGCTAGTGGTGCCAGCTTTTATCAGCGGCACTAGGACTGCAGGGGGTGCTGTTTAAAAAAATAATAAAAAAAATGGAATGAAAAGACACCTCTGAGTCTCTGAACTGCTTCTTCTTCTTCTTCTTTTTTTTTTTTTTTTTTTTTTTTTTTTTTTTTTTTTTTTTAACACCAAAAGGTGGCTTGTAATGGAAAGACACCTCGGACCTGGGGCCAAGTCCCACTAGCGGGGGCTTAGTTATATGTTTCGTCACTTCGTGTATTTTCCAACGTGGTCACAGCGTGGCCGTGGAATTTTCAGATCGGATGGCAGGGAGCCCTGCATAGTACTTGAAACCAGAACTAAACCTCGATAAGTGGGACATGGCCCCTGTTATCCCCGGCAACAAACTGGATGGCCCCGGCTCTGGAGGTGATGATGCAACATCAGCTTCCTTTTTTTTTTTCTTTTTTTTTTTCCGTCGGGAGCAGCACATGCTAGGAACCAGGCCCAGCGTCGCATATAAGCATGATGCCACATGAGCTTTATCCCAGAGCCAAGGATTTGCAACTCCACTTTTTTTTTTTTTTTTTTTTTTTTCCAATCACTCACACTTTTTTGCCTTGGTTGTTTTGAAACTTTTGATGATGATCCATGCTTGTCCCGACAAAAACCAGCCCTGAGAAGTGGAGGTGCCGTGTAAGATGTGCCAACCATACGGGTGTCCCTCACGGGTCTTCTAATCAGTGACACGGCTGCATGCGCAAAAACAACGTCTGCATAGCTCAGTCATAGGGTGTGTCTAACACCTCCAGACTGCTTCCAGTTTCTGACTGACACTGACAAATGGATCCTCCCAATCTCGGGGACTTCTTCGCCGTGTTGGGATCCCGTGCAGGCCTCCGACCACGCTTGAATTTAACTGGTCGCAGGCAGGCCCATACACCCCCGCAAAGCCGGCTCATTTGCTGGTACAGAGGGGGGGTAGCTCTTCGAGGAACCTCGGTACGATTCCACTTTTGAACACCGTGTCCTGGCTGTCGTGGTTAAGAGACTTGGCTCTTGAGGCCGAGGTCGCTGGTAACGGCTGGTTCGAATATGTGCATGCACAGAGGAGGGCGTAGGCCCAGACGTACGGAATCCATACTACTTGACGAGTACGGGTGGTTTAAGGTAATTTAAACCACCAGTATTTCGCCCAGCTACCGGCCGCGGAAAAAAAATAGAGTAGAAACGATTCTAGTCGGATGAATTTGTGCGCTCCTATAGTAGCCCGTACGTTGTTTCCTAAAATTGTGGCTTGTTAACGGGCAGGACTTCAGGAAGTACTGGTGGTGTAATCGGGGGACAAAACTCTGTGGCACCGAATGATGTCAATAGCGAGACTCCCTGCCTTCCTGCGCCAGGATGACACACATAAATGGACAAATGGTCCAAAAGCGAGAGTTCACGGGTTCGTTCGTTCGTTCGTTCGTAGGTGTGCCTTCGTGCTGACAGTGTGACATCCTTTGTTTTTCCTTCGACCGAAAAAAGGGCAGAGTGCCCGAAGGCTCGTATCATCAATTTGGAAACAGAAAATGAGATACCAGGGGCCGTCCACACACACGTCTATGGGGCCAGCGGCGTCCCCATAGTAGCTACCGTCTTCCCATGAATATAACACACCATGATAATGAATATACACGGGCCACCTTTCCGGTCCCGTGCAGCCATACTGGGGTGCGTGGTGTCAAGGGGGACAAGAGTACGATCTATAATTTCTTCCTCAGGTCACCATCCCTAGGGGACACTTTCCACCCCCTCTCCTACCCCATCATCTCGACAAGCCTTGATGCCTCAGAGGGCATATTCCCGCCGTCTTCCCCCGAACACAACGCACCCTCATTCCGACTGTATCTGGCCGGAAACATACCTTGTATACGTTCCTTTTCAGGGTGCGTTATGTTCAGGGGAAGACCGTAGCACTTTCCTAAATGTATCTGCCAGCAATTACCATCAAAACCTTGATGCATCTAACTGCAATCACGTCCAGAGCTGAGTACTAGGACTTTCCTAAATGCATCTGCCAGCAATTACGTTCCAAAACCTTGATGCATCTGACTGCAATCACGTCCCGAGCTGAGTCGAACATGTCCAAGTGTGAGTATGCCCTCAATCCACACACCCCCATTCCAGCAAGACTTCCGATAGAAGACGTCCGCATCTCTTTGACAGTTAAGCGATAGAACCAGCTCTCCTAGGTGCGCAACACTCCCTTCCCTACCATCTCCACCTGACACCGTGCAAGTCCAAGCTATAATAACAAAAAACAGAACACACCCGGTTCTTTTCACAGTTGAGATAATCACAATTAAGGAGCAAGAGCAGTAAGCAACTAACTTAAGCCACCAGTACCTTTCCCCGCTCGAACAACAAAACTGAAGCTTGTTAGCTGCCTCTTTTTTTTTTTTTTTTTCCTTCATCTTCTTCTTAAAAACCCAAGGGTGTTGTAGAGGCCAAGAACCAGACCCGCGGTGATTGCTGACAGCGGCAGCCAATGGTTGCCCTGACAGCATAGGTCACCTACCTGGCCGCCTCATTCTTTGGGGGTTCGGGCACCAGACCGAAATGGCTGGTGGTCACATCCCTCTCCATCCATTCATGTATGTTAATTTACGGATAATGAGATACCACAAGCGAATACCATATAACCTAATTGGCTACAAGTAGAATAAGCAATAACCCTTTTTAAATCATTTTGTAAAATTCCTGTGGTTGCCGCAAAAAAGGATGTCATAGCTCTCACAAAAGTAATCACAATTAAAGCCTTGGGTGCGTATTCAAATAAGGGAGAACACCTTGCCATCATGAAAACACCTGCTGTTAAAATTACCATAGTAGCTGCATGAATCAGAGCTGATGCTGGGGTAGGTACAGGGTCCTCCATAGGGTCTGGTAACCAAGTATGGAGTAACGCATCAACAACACGACCCAACATAGATCTTCCTACAGGAACATCTACAATAGATCCAGTACGTTTGACAATATCTACTTCTCTAAACCACCAGTAATGGGCGACGCCTTAGCGTTAACGCTACGCGATTTCCGCGGCCGACGGGCCGTTGATAAATCGAATCGACAGCCCGCGCTGCTTCGAGATTTGGGCGGTCGGCGCGGCGCGCAGTGCCCAAGTACTGGTGGTTTAATGGCAGTATCACTACCAAAAACCACAATTCCTACACTCTCATTTTCAAGATTCAGTGCCATTCATTATCGAGGAAGCTCAACTTTTTTTTTTTGTCTTTGGCGCGCATGACGAATTTGGGCTTGGCATCAATAGCTGGGCAGAGTACTGGTGGTTTAACTAATGTACAACTCAATATCTTTTTTTTTTTCTTTTTTTTTTTTTACATGCGAGGTTTAGAAGGCTGGAGTTCCTTGCATAGGCTAACATCGATGGTGCAAAAAAAAAGAAGACCCTGCAAATCCTTGGAGCGGTTTGTGTGGGTGGGCGCTTTAAATGCATGGCAAGCTAATGACCAAGTGGCCCCAAGCCTCCCCACCCAGCCCCTCAGGATATCCAAACCTGGTTGTTGAAGCTCCTTTTTTTTTTCTTCTTCTTCTTTTTTATAGCCCTTCGGCAGAGCGAAGACCCATAAAATAATGTTGTAAGCTCCTCAGTGCGCTCAGTCCACGGTATTCCTTAGTAAACGGCAAAAGAATAGTACGCCATGTGAGCTGGACACGCAGCTTCAATGTTGTTCAAGCTCTTTTGTTTTCCCAATATAATTGAATAATGTCCAATTCACATTTAACCACAAGTGAAACCTCTTTTTTTACGACATAGACTTCTGCCACACGTCCGTCCCGTCTGAACCGGCTGCGAGCCCAATTTACTTGGCGACACGATCCTGATCGTGGTAATTTCCCCTTCCTTTTCACCAGGACTCTGAACCTTTTTCATCCGATATGATGCCCAAGCCTGCTTTTTTTTACTTGGTGACACTGGCTCCTCAGTAAATCGGGCACTGAGCCGTCCAAGCCTCCTTTTTCATCCGATATGCCCAAGCCCCCTAAGATGTGCGGCGTGCCATACCGTCCAATATGCTCTGCAATTGGTTGGCTTTGTGAAAAGGGCATGCAAGAGAGGCGGAAATGAACCGCCAGTTCCCAAGCCGGTACCGAACCGCCAACTGCGGACTCCGGGCAGCGAGGCAGAACAAATGGTGCACATGCCAGGTAACGACTGCTTCAAATCCGGTTTTTTTTTTTTTTTTTTTTTTTTTTTTTTTCCCCTCTTCTGTGGTTGGTTGCAAATGTTGAATTGAGATTCACCAAGGATGTTGGTGAAATATGACTCTTGCCGGGAGGCCCGGGGCAATTGAGCAAATAAAGCACATCAAAAATTTAAAATTCAAAATAAATTGCCTGCGAGGAGTCGGAATCATTGAAATTTTGGATGTAGCAAAAGGAACAAACAAAGAGAAGGCGGAAGATGCATCAGAGAGCCTTTGACAGGATATGGGGTTCTCTCTCTGATCCAGAAGCCCAGCCATCGTAGAGGGGCCCATAAAGGCTTCGCCCCTTAAACAACCAGTACATACCCCCAGCCTTGCAGAATCTTTGTCTGTCGTTTACTACGCAAACTTCACCCAAATTTCACCCCTCAGGCCTCCGGGACCACAATGGCTGGTGGCTCCAGCCAAAAGGTAAAAGAAGTGCGCCAGCCGTCCGAAAAAGCTTGACGCGCAGTGCAGCGCCTCCAGGCCCGGGTGTGCTGGTGTTTGAAAATAACACACCGAAAAAATAGCTAGCGCACCTTTCGATAACCTGGTTGACAGCAAGAAAAACAAAACAAGACAGGTACGCCAGCGGGTACTTCTCCTCACCTCCCCACTTCTTTTGCAGGCAGGCTTTGCAAGTTGAAACTGCTCAGAAGAGGTAGAAAGAAAGGAGAAAATCACAGCTCCAATAGCGTATATTTAAGTTGTTGCAGTTAAAAAGCTCGTAGTTGGATTTTGGGTAARAAAAAAAAAAAAAAAAAAAAAAAAAAAAAGGAGAAAATGAAAATCTTCAAAATCAGCTCATTGATTTCAATTTCATTCTTTGTACAAATTTGATAAAATCTTCCGGACACTAACCAAACAACAAAAGTTACGCAGGAAGGTGTGTCGTGGAACACAGAGCTTGAACCGGTGGAAGTTGAAGTGTACAGCAAAGCCTCAGAGTCCATGGTATTCACAGAGTCACAGGCTTGTCCTAAAATAGCCGCGGAGAAGGATCACCTAAAGATAGTCAGAAGTAAAGAAACCTGCGCTGGTACACCACATCTGTCTGTCTTGTTTTGTCCAGTCGGTCGGTCGGTCGGTCGGTCGGTCGGTCGGTCGGTCGGTCTGTCGGTCGGTCAGTCAGCCTGTCTGCCTGTCTGCCTGCCTACATGGTCTGCTGGGTATGTCGGTGTGTTGGGCCCTCTCGGTCAATAGGCCGGCCAGTCTGCAAGTCAGCCAATCTATAATCTGTCAGTCCGCTTCTTTCTCTCCCCTCTATCCTCCCCCCTCCCCTTGGCCACTCATGTACTTAGAAAGGTACCACATGCCAAAAAGGAACGGACGTAGACCGTCAAAAGGACGTCAAATTGCACTGAACACCACATCTCTCTCTCTCTCTCTCTCTCTCTCTCTCTCTCTCTCTCTCTCTCTCTCTCTCTCTCTGTGTGTGTGTGTGTGTGTGTGTCTGACTGTACCGTCTAGCCCCACCCGGATGCGGGAAATGTTTTGGAAGTCCAATCTAAAATGAAAACAAATCAAAAGTCAGTTCTCCGGTTTCCACAGAAGCAGTTTCTGGAATGGCAGGGGGGTTCTGACTTTCCTAAAATGCTAGATGATGGGAAGAGGAGCACCTAGATGGCGGCGGTTTCACATCGGTGGCATGGGCAGAGAACATCAGATGACCTTCGATCAGAAAAGATGGTAATGTGAAACCCCCACCAACTAGAGTCGATGTCCGCACAGAAGCAGAAAAGCAGAAATGACAGCTGCGTTGTTGCTCACACGGTCCTGCACAAACGTGGCTTATGGCATTTCTTGCTTTGGTGTCATGCGTTGCACTGAGAGGGGTAAGCGAATAGTGCTCTGTTGTGGGATATGCTGACGATGACGATGATAGCTCATGGCGGCATTTGCAGCCAGTCTGCGCAAGTCCGCATAGTGCGATGCTTTACCTGTTCGACACACACAAGACTCTCACCTTTGTCTATCTCTATAGCTTCGTTCCAGTTCCGTCCCCGGAGACAAGGAACCTCTGTCCTTCTTCGTTGCTCGCCGTGAATTCAAATGAAAGAGGGGGGCACAGTGACGGTAGCCAATGGCGATATACAAGGTACCCACCTCACACTGTTCTCTCTCATACCTCTTTCAACCCCATTTTGCCGGTCCATCACTCGAGCGCAAAAGCCGCATTGAATGGGCGAAGGCGCATAGAAAAGTGTAAGGCTGTGAGCTGGGCTCATCAACTCGATGCTTGTAAAAGAAGTGCTCACTTCTCTGTGCCGCAGAGAGAGAAATATCACCTCCAGAAGGAGACCGGTTCATTCACAGGCCACCGAGGGAGGATTGCATTGAACTGTGTCATTCCAGAGCTGTCATTTCTGCTGACTCTTGTCCCTTCCAGTGCCATGGAGACGCATGTTCCTTTGCTCCAAATTGTCCACCATCTGTGAATACGTTTGTCCTGACAATATCGATTAATGCATCCATTCATCTAACAAGTTAACAACCATTCATTGTTACACTTACAGCATGGACCAATGGCCATGCAGAGGGAAGGGGGTGGTGTCATTTTAAGAGGCATCAACCACGTCAGCTATTGAGTAGACAATCTATCTGTCACTCCATTTATCTATCCATCCATCCATCCATCCATCCACCCATCCACCCATCCATCCTCCCATCCATCCACTCATCCATCCATCCATCCATCCATCCATCCATCCATCCATCCATCCATCTATCCATCCATCCATCCATTTCACTGCCTGTCCTCCCTCCCTCCCTCCCTCCCTCCCTCTCTCTGTCGGTCCGTCCGTCCCTCCTCTGGCCATCAGTCCCTTCCCCTCTCAGTCCATCCCTTCCCCTCTCAGTCCATCCCTTCCTCCATCCGTCCATCCGTCCGTCCGTCCTCCGTCCTCCGTCCTCCGACCGTGCGTCCTCCGTCCGTGCGTCCTCCGTCTGTGCGTCCTCCGTCCGTGCGTCCATCCATCCATCCATCCATACGGAGGACGTCCGTGCGTCCTCCGTCCGCGTGTTCTCCGTCTGTG